CCACCGACCCAACTAGACCCCCACATCTGATGCCTTTGGATGATGGCGATGGAGGCACAATGAAAAGGCCAGGTCTGTCTCAGGAGGACAGTCCCGTGTCCCCTCTGACCGTCCTGGAGCCGGGCGCCTCTGAGGGATTCTGACAAAGCCTTTTTATTGCACTTGATACAAAACACAGCGCAGACACAGGCAGGGGTGACCTATGGGCAGAGAGTGAAGCCAGCGGCCTCCCGGGGGCACCGGGAGGAGGAGAGCCAGTCCTGAGGGCAGTGCCCTCTCGGGTCCAGCCTGAGGCCGGCGGGTGATGACGATGGTTGTGGGGTAGGTGGGCAGGCGGCTGCTGGGTGGTGGGATGGTGGTGCTGGGACACGTGTAGCCGGTGGCACCCCACGCACACACACGGCGGTGCTGGTTAAGGGCCAGGGTTGGTGGGTGCTGCCACCTCGGGGAGTGGGGCTCCGGAAAGGTCTGGCCCGGACCCTGGGGGTCAGAGTGGAGTACGGGCAGGGCAGGAGGGCGCCCCTCAGTCCTGCCCGCGCCTCTTCTTGCCCGCGGGTCGCCGCCTCTTCTGCTCCAGCCGCTCCCTCCTGGTGGCGGCCGTGGTGAAGGTGATGCACTGGGAGTCCAGGAAGTCCAGCAGCTTGCCGGCGGCCACGCGGATGCCACTCTGCCTCAGCTCCGCCTGCAGCTCGGCCAGCTCCAAGGGCTGGTACAACAGCACCCTCCGGTACAGGGCCGGCTGGGAGCGGATGTAGTGCCACACGGCCTCCTGCGTGTCCGCCGCCCGCGAGGCCACCTGCGATGCCGGGACCCCCTCCTCGCCCTCGTCGGCCCCTTCGGACTCAAAGGCCGCTCCAAACTCACCACAAGCGGAGCTGGAAAAACACCCAGTCAACCGCAGTTAGTGAAAAACCTGAGCCTGCCAGGCCCACCCAACCCCGTTCACCCACCATGCCTGAAGGTACTCGACCATGAGATTCTGGAAGGCAGCAGTGTCCCCATGTCTTGTGTGGGGCAGGGACAGCGTCCAAGGAGTTGCCTGTTCTCCCAGGCAGTCCGGCTCACGGGCCCAGTCACACCCTCAGTGGTCTCCACCAGCAACGGGATGTCACCGTGAAGACACTTTGGGCAGCCCCCTCAAGGACCTGGGAGGTTCTTACAGGCCGAGGGGCCCAAAAGCAAGCAGTGGGTGGGAGGTGAGGTGGCCTGCCTGCCCACATCTCCTGTGGCTTCAAACCCAGGGGCAGCCAGAAAGCTCCCTACCCCAGTCTCAGCCCCCTGGCTCAGAGGACCTGCGTGCCCAGCCACTGACCTCTGTGAGCCCCAGGACCCATCACTGCTGACCACCGAAGTGGCTGCAGATTCCTGGGAGGCAGGGAGCTGGTCTTCGTCATTTGGATCCGAGGCATCCTCCTTAGCTGGTGGCCTGGGCAGGGCTGGGGGGGCTTCCACAGGCTGCCTCCTTCTGCACCGGCGGCTCGTGCCCTCAATGGGTCCCTTGGCCCTTTGGGTGATGTAGCCAGTGGTCGCCTTTGGTGGGGGGTGGCCTCCTGACCTTGAGGTCTTAGGGGCTTCGGCAGTGGCCTGCATCAGGGGCACCTGCGAGGACGGAATCTCGTCGTCCGAGTCAGACTCCAGGGTCTGGTGAGTGTACTGGAATATCTCCTTCAGCTTCAGAACCATCTGGCGTTTGGGCAGAGGGCGGACTCCAAACCTAAATCAGGAAGCAGGGAACACCAACACTCACCCACCTGAAGCCGCACACTCTTTACACGGCCACTCACCCACTGAGGACACATGCTCTACACAAGCACTCACCCACGCTCACACACCATGCCTGAAGGGACTCACCCGTGCTCACACTCTGTGCCACCACTCAACGACTCACACACCATGCCAGAAGGCACGCAGCCACGCTCACGCTCTATGCCAGTAGGTACACAACCAATTTGGACTCTACACTGAGATTCATCTACACTCAGTCTATCCTGCTCAGCCACAGCTACGCTCACCTTCCACCCCGCACTTAGCCCTGCCCCCCCCCCCCTTGCTCACTCCTTGCCAGCACTGAACCACATGCCCTCTCTCTGCTGGCATGCAGCCACCTGCTACTCTGCGTACTCCGTGCACTTTCCAAGCTGTGGCAAAGAGCAAACGATGACCAGCTCATCCAACGAATGGCGTGGTGCTGGCATTTGGCCCGGGGTCTCTCCTAGCTGCCCAAAGCACTGACTCTGAAGAGCATCGCAGAGGGGCATTCTCACAGCGCTCTGAGCAGTGGTGGGGGGCCCTGGCTGAAGTAACTACAGCTCCCCCTGGTCTAGGTGGAAGGGCAGCATTCACTGGGATGTGAGGGAGGTCGGTTTTTAGAGTCAGGTCTCCTGACTTATTTGGTAAGGCTGGGATACTACTTCCATAATCATGAACAAGGAGACCAGTAGCCTGGGAGGTAACCCAAGGGCTCTCCTTAGCTTCTCAGGCCTACATCCTTTGGGGAACAACATGTGGCATGGGATCCTGGGCACCCAGTACTCTGCCTCCGCCCCAGCAGGCTCCACCATCAGAGTGGGCTGAGTAGTCACATCCAGCAGGGAAAGTAGGCTGGGCCTGCCCCCGAGAGACGGACCTGGTGGGACTATTCCCCCAGCACCACCACCACGTGAGACCGGGCATGAGGGGAAAGAGCCCGTGGGAGCAGAGGACACTGACCTGTCCAGCTCTTTCTTCAGCACTGGGGTCTCCAAAATGGAATACCGTGGCATTGGTGTGATGGGTACTTTGGGAGGCAAGTTCTTCTTCCGACGGGCACCTTCTGTGTAGAAGGGAAGAAACACACGGCTCAGCATGTGGGGCCTGCCCTGGAAGACCACCTACCGCCAGCGTGGTCTATAGAAGCAGTGAGTCCCTGCCCTCTCACGGGATGTGTTCTGGGCACCCACCCCACGAGGACCGTGTCATGGATGCAGTGCCCGTGGCACTCCTGGTGCCCGTGACCAGAGCTCAGGCAAACGTAGCACTGGTCCCATCTGGTGACAGCACTGACATCGCCCATGGTGCCAGAGAAGTCAGCCTTTTCTTTTAACAAGTCAATAATAACTCAAAACCAGTAACCCAGCTGAAAAATGGAGAATAGAACGTTCCAGAGACGACGGGCCAACAGCCAATAGGCACATGAAAAGAAGCCACGTCAGCAGTCACTGGGGAAAAAGCCAAGCAAAGGAGATGCTGCTTCGGTGGTGCTGGCGGGCAAGCTCGGGGCTGCTTAACCGCAAGCTTGGCAGTTCAAACCCACCGTCTGCTCCCTGTAAAGACTGACAGCTGCAGAAGCCCGCCATGGGGTCACCGTGGGTGGAGTCCACTGGAGGGCAGTGGACTCCGACCACACACGAAACCTGTTGTTGCCGTGTCGCCATGCTGTTCAGACTCCTTGGGGCACTATGGCTGTACCTGCTCCAGAAGCAGACTGTCAGGCCTTCCTCTTTAGGAGCTACTGGCGGGTGTGAGCCACCGATTCTCAGTGGTGCTCGGCTGAGCGATTTAAGCAGCGTGTCCCCGGGCCTTCTCTCACACCCACTTGGCTTATTTCCAGCAAGTCAGTTCCCAATCCGAGTCGGACCCCACCAGGCAGGAGAGAACTGCGCCCGTGGGCTCCCGAGGCTGGCACTCTTTGCGGGAGCAGGACGCAGCTCGTAGCGCAAAGCATCACCTCTCTGCCACCAGGGCTCCCTCCCCACTAGGATGGCCCTTAGGGCTGGCGAGGCTGTGGAGACACTGGGACCCTCTGCCTGTGGTGGGAATACAGAACGGCGTGCTGCCGGTGAGCAGGTCCTCAAAAGGTCACCCACAGAACGGCCGTGTGGCCCAGGCTGTGTTCCAGGAGACGAAGGCTACGTCCACGTACGACGTGTTAGTGAGCACAGCGGCCAGGAAGTAGACAGAGCCAGACGCCCCTCAGTGGGTCAACAGACGGGCAAACCCAGTTCCGTCACCCAAAGGAGTTGTTGTTTTCAGTTGGACTGTCTAATGTTGTTCTTATTTTTTAAATTTTTCTTTCATTTCCCATAACTCCCATGGCTCCATCCTCCTTGCCATCATCAAACAAACACACACGCTACCTCAAGTGGATGCTGACTCACAGCGGCCCTCTAGCCCAGGGCAGGACTGTCGCTGTGGATCTCTTCATAGGAGCGGACTGCTGACCTTGCAGTTAGCAGCCCAATCTGTAACCACGCCGCCATGGGGCTCCTTTTAAAAAAGAAGGTGGTGGTGGTGGTGTCGGGTGCCAGCAAGTCAGCGGTGACTCACAGCGACCGTGTGTCCAGCAGAAGGGAACGCTGCCCAGTCCCATGCCATCCACACAACGGTTCTTGTGTGTGAACCCATCCTTGCAGCCCCGTGTCCATCCGTGTCATCAAGGGTCTCCTTTGTCGTCACCTCTCCACTTTCCCAGAAAGGAATGAAGTTCTCAGAGCTGCTCAAAGGGGGAGACCTTGAAAGTGGTCTGCCAAGTACGTGAACCCGCCGATCCATGGACACGGGACACAGGGTTGATGACCGTACTTCCTGCGTGACGTGCCCAAGGGAACAACATGCTTATGCTGACCACACTCACGGGAAGCTCACATGTGAGGGGAATAAGCAGATTGCAGAAAACAAAACCAACAACCCAAACAGACCCGCAAAACAAAAACGTATGATGCACACGTTCTTTGCAGAAACTGACCATAGTCACCGTGGGACAGGGAGGGGATGAGGAGGGGGAGGAGAGATTGTTTAAGGGGTATGAGCTCCTTTTGGGGAATGATGGAAATGTTCTAGAATTAGTGGTAAGAGTTGCACAACACTGAATAGTCTAGACCCTGAATTGTGTACTTTCAAGGGGTAAGTTGTATGGTGTGTGAATGGTATCTCAGTAAAACTATGAATTGTTTGTAAATAAAGAAATTAGTTACTTTTAAAGGTAACTGGGAGGTTCAGGGATTGGTCTTTAACTTTTTTAGGATCACAGAACCATGTAAGAAAGACTGTGTTTCCCAAACTGTCAATCTCCACAGGAGTAGACAGCCCTGTCTTTCTCCCATGGAGCGGCTGATAAGCTTTGAACCGTTGACCTTGTGGTCAGTAGGCCAATGAATAACCACTAAACCACCAGGGCTCCTGGAAGATGCCTTGAATTCTTGGTGGAATTGCCATTTGCAGGGCCCTTGAAGGCCACCTCAGCCCCCAGATGGGGGGAAGGCACCCTAGGCTGAAGTTTTCTCAGGGCAGCCCCTGGGGTCTGGTTAGAAATGCAAATGTCCCTTCGGCCTTGACCTACCCAGAGAGACTGGGGTGAGCCCGCGAGCTCAAGGCCCCTCACACATGTGGCTCTAGCCAGACAGGCCCTCAGGTTCCCGTCAATCCCTGCTCCCCTGGCCAGCCTGAGAACAGCAGCGCAGTGAGGACCCCCAACTGGGGGTGAGGAGATGGGGGCAGAAGGGAGTCTTTCTTTCCTTCTCCCTTGGTGCCAGAAGCCAAGGTTAAAGGGAGTTTGGTGGCTCGGCCTTTCCCATGAGCTGTGCTCCTGACTGTCTGCCCAGAGAGGGATGAGGGGGACTGCAGGGCCTGCACTGGCTCCACACCCTTGCCTGACCACGTCTTACAAAATGAAGGTGAAATCCACGCCACACAAGAGGAAGCACTTCAAAGTGGCCTTTAGCCAGTGCCACCTGAGTCTAGTTCCAGAACATTTCCTTTCCAGCAGCCACCACAGGCAGGCTCCACTCCTCCCTGACAACCACCAAGGGCTCCCTGTCTCTGAGATAGCATCCAGAAGGGGCCCCTGGTGCCTCAGGGCTGCTCTCTCTCAGCTGGCTGCCCCCCAGGGGCCTCCACACGGGGCATCGGGGCTTGGCTTCTCTTTACTTGGGGCGACACTCGGCCCTGCTCATCCCTTCATCTGCTGACCGACACTGGGGTGGTGTCCACTTCCTGGCTGCTGTTTGCACTTCTCCTGGGTGCACACCCAGGGCTGACCCTGCTGACTCATGTGGAGATCCAGTGGGTAGCTTTTTGGGGAAGTGCATGTCCCCGACCCCACAGGACACCTGAGGCACTGACCACTGGCCAGGGTCTTGGCCTCTCCAAGGAGGTTTGGTTGGTGTTCTGGGTGGGGCCCACAGGTGCCCAAGGGACAGGCGTGTGCTCAGTAGTGGGTGGCCCACTTCTTGTGCTGAGGGCCTGTGTTTCCCCCCACCCTTCATCGGACGCCCGCCCACCTGTTACTCACTAGGTGTCTCTGAGCCTCCTGGTTCCCCAGCGCAGGGGGTGCCCTGTCTCTGGGCTAGCAGAAGACCCTCTGGTGATGTCTCTCCGTCCCACTTGTCCCACAGCTCCGAATTCAGCCAGCTCAGCCTGCTGGCCCCCGGGGACTGCTCGGGGGCTCCCCCCGGGTCAGGGCAGCTCCCTCGGATGGGAGTGGTGTTCAGGGGGCTGGGGAAGCTGCAGGGCTCGCTGGTAGGGGCCTCCCTTGGCCTGGGGCTGGGGCTGCTGGTGCTCAGGGGGCCTGTCTGTCCCAGGTTGAGGTGGTCAATGGGAATCGGAGAGAGGGGCTCGGCAGTCCAGCTGTCACTGGGGGCAGGGAGCTCCCCTTCAGGCAGGGGGCTGCTATTCGCCTTCAGGGGGGCCACCCCCAGCTCATCATCGCTGTCCTCGACTTCCACCACCTCACCCACAGGGGCCTGGCTCAGCCGGAGTGGCTTGGGCATCGAGTGTCGGCGTCTCCTCCTTGGTGGGCAGGTGTGTGGCTGAGACTGTCCACTGGCCGGGCTCCTGGCAGTGCCCCTCCGGCCAGCAGAGCTCCCTGGGGACGCAGGAAGGAGCCACGGCGGAGTAGTCTGGGGTACGAGGACTGGATGTGGCTCAGTGGCTTCCTTCTTGCCTGCAGCTGCGGCCCTGGGCTCCTGCACTGAAGTCCTGGCGTGTAGGCCTCGCGCCTGGGAGGTACAGTGACGGCTCCTCCCGGCCAGTGGGGTGGCGGGCACCAGCCATGACCTGTCCGGGGTGCTGTCCTCCTCGGGGCTGCTCTCCTGGTCACAGAAGAGCCTGCACCGCCCTCTGCTGCCCACGGAACCCCGGCTCCCGGATGGCGAGGGCATGCTGGCCCCCAGCTGCAGCTCGCCATCCTTTCCTGGTAGGCTTGGAGAACGGTCCAGGTCTGCGTCGATGTCAATGATGGAGAACAGCTCTGAGGACCTGGGGCTGACATCCACCCCCTTCCCTGCCTCCGGAGACGCGCTGGTGCCAGGTCTCTTTCCAGCCTGTGTCAGCTCCAGCTCCTCATCCGAATCCAGCAAGAGAATGACGTCACTGTCCCTGCCCCTGCAGGGCGGGGCGCCAGAGTCGGGCTGCGTGAGGTCAATGGATGTGGGCGCTTCTGGGGACACCGGGGCCGCAAGACTTGGGCGGGCCCTCGTGGAGCTGCTTCTTCTGCCTCCCCGGGGGCTTCGATCTGTGAGTGCCGGGGAGACGCCACTGCTCCGCCTCTGTTTGGATGGTAAGACGGGGGACCCCTGGGAGACCGCCTTGGCAGCTGCACTCTGCGATCGGGGTGTTGATGGGGAGGAGCCACCTGAGCGGTGAGCATGGCGGGGGGACCAGGGGGGACTCGCACCCAGGGCGGGCTGTCGCACTGTAGGCTCCTGCTGGTGCATGGGGGAGCAGGGCGCCTCTGCCCCTTTCTTCATGACCTGCCCTTTCTGCTCCTCTGAGTCACTTGTTACCTGGGAAGGTGTAGAGTCTTCTCCTTGAATGAATGAGAGGGGCTGTTCATAACCATAGTAACCGTCGCTGGAGTGCAGGCGGGAGCCTTCTCTCCTTCCTGCACGCAACCCGCTGGAACGGCTGGAGGGGCTGGAGCACTCCGCGGTTTCCCTTCCGGCTTCATGTTTGGGGGTCTCGGAATCCTCACTGTGGGGCCGCTGGGGCCAGAGGCCCGGCGCTGCCGACAGCCCCACACCTTCCCATCCGGCCAAGGTCTCCTTGCTTCCTTGCTCAGGCGACTCCTTGGGGCCTGCATCCTCCTCCAGTCGTGCTCCCACCAAGCAGTGGGTGCGGGCATACTCAGGAGCCAGACGCTCCCACTCGAGCTGGTCGGCAGCCTCAGCTCTCTCTGCGGCTCTCTCCTCTCGGAGCAGCTTCCGCTGAGTAGCTGCAAACTCATATATTTCTTCCATCTCGGCTTCATCCACATTTTCTCTGTCTTCTTCTGGGCCCTCAGGTTTCAACAGGGCCTCTGCTTCCTCTTCTTCCTCTACCCACACCGACCTCAAGACATCTTGGAAGGTGTCTGCTCTGCCCTCACAAGTCTCCTCTTCCTTCTCCCCGATGCCACTCGCCATGCCCATGGTGACAGGTGCCTGTTTGCACAGGTGGGCAAGCTCACTCAGTCCAAACCTGCAACACAGACACCTGGTCAGGAGCACATAGAGGGCCCATTCCCTCCCCTCAGAGAGCATCCACCCTCATGCCCAGCTGCACCCCTGGGCCGCTGGATTCTAGAAACCAGAGACTGGTGATTCTGTCAGACAGGGTTCATGAACTTCACTGCTGCACGCAAAACAGGATGAACTCGGAGGGGTCTGGAGGTAAGGGTATGATGGTGTGACCTGTGTCCCCTAAAATATGTGTAATAAATCCTAATCCCCCTATCTGGGTTAAGGAGCCCTGCTAGTGTAGTAAGAAGCCCAGCTGGAGCTGCTGGGGGGGGGGGTACTGGACCGCTAACCCCAAGGTCAGCAGTTCAAACCTACCAACAGCTCCTCGGGAGAAAGATGAGGCTATTGGCTCCCATCAAGATTCACAGCTCCAGAACCCTTCAGGGGTGCTGTGTCTGAATCAATGTGAGGGCAGTGGGGCCAGCCTGTCTTTGTGGGTTAAGACCATATCGCTGTAGGGCGTGCCTTTAGGCTGCCTCTTTGGAGACGGGAAGGAGCTACCCATGCAGGGAGCAGAAACGGGAGAAGAGAGGTGCCATGCCACGGGAACACGGCCAGGGAGCAGGAGAACCAAGACCCTCCCCCAGAGCTGAGAGAGAGAGCCTTCCTCCAAAGTTGGTGCTCTTGACCAGGGCTCCTGGCCTCCTACAGAAGGAAGATGAGGCTTTCTACTCCCGTAAAGCGCCAACAGTCTCTGAAACCTACAGGGACAAGTCTCCCCTGTCCCATAAGGTCACTAGGAGTTGACATGGACTCGATGGCAGTGAGTATGGAGTTTGAGTGGAGCCTCCTGAACTGTGAGAAAGCCCGAGTCTGTCTGTTACAGCCACCACTGTGGTATTTCCTCCGTGCGTGCGAGGAGCTGTGAGAAGGAAGACGATGTAGGGAGCGGCTGCCTGGGCATACACAGCAACACTGAAAGAGGCCAGTGTACTGCCCTGCTGACGTGTGATCGTTCCTTCCAGACCCCAGAGGCTGACAGGGTCCTTGCTCAGAAGGTACCTCATGAAGGTGAACACCAAAAAGGACAAAACAAATTCAGTGCCATCAAGTGCTGGCTCATAGTGACCCTCGAGGACAAGGTAGAACTGCCCCCGTGGGTTTCTGAGAGAGTCACTCTTTCGGGAGGCACAACGCCCCATCTTTCTCCCCAAGAGTGGCTTGTGGTTTTGAACTGCTGAACCTTCAGATTCCAACCCAACTCCTAACCACTACGCTACCTGGTGAAGCAAAGGTTTTACCCAAGGTTCAGGGGCCATTGCTCATCACACATGGGGTGCAGACCAGACAGGGTCGGAAAGGTGAGCCTTCCAGGAGCTCCCACCTCCTGGGACGACGCATGGGAAAGGACGGTGAGTGGGCTTTAACGGCGGTGGTGGGGGGTGGGGGGTGTCCGTGGTGTGAAGGCAAGTGGCGCTGAGACCCATCCTCCAGCCCAGGATGTGGCAGAGGTCCACCTCGACAGGGCTGGGAACTCCTGCCAGGGCCCATGCTGGTCAACAGAGGCACCCTGTCTACCAGGTCATGCCAGGTCATAACTCAGAACTGGCCTGTGGCCACCCAGTCTATCCCAACTCCCAGTGACCATGCAGAGCCGTGCCATTGGGTCTCTGTGGCTGCCGTCTTTACCGAAGCCACTGCCTCATTGTTCTCCCATGGAGTGGCTGGTGGAGTCCGACTGCGGACCTCTCGGTGGGCAGCTGAGTGGACTGCGCCACCTGGGCCCCTTGACTTTGGGTGGCCCAGCCTCAGCCTTCCTGCTGGACCCCTCCTGCTGTCAGCCTGCACGATGGGGATTCTAACTCATGGTGGCCCACCATGTGCAGCGCAGGACTCCACTCGGTTTCCAAGGGCAGGCTGCCAGGTCTGTCTACTGAGGGGCCGCTGGAGGTGGGTGGGTGAGTCCCCAAGGCCCCAACCTTTCAGCTGAGCATCAAGCGCTTAGCCATTTTCCCTCCGAAGAACTCATCATCCCGAGAGTCCCGGTCAGTGAGTGCCAAGGGCTAGGCCATCAGGAGGAGGACAAGCTGACCTGAGGGCCAGGGGGTGCAGCATGGGGGCCAGGCGGGAGGGCACGTCGGTGTCGGCGACATAGAGGTAGCGCAGGAAGTGGTGGGCCCCCTCGGCACTGACGTCCCTCAGCAGGACACGATGGGTTCTCAGGTCCCCGTCTTCTACGGCCAAGAAACCGTCACTGTTCACCTAAGGCGGCACAGAACAGATAAGGCCTGTGGGGCACACAGGCATGACTTGGGGGGCGATGGGAGGCCCAGGACATCCTGACTTTCTCCGGTTCTCTTGACAAGCCAGGCACAAGAACAGCATTTGCCGGGGCTGCCTTCTTGCACTGGCCAGGGAGCCGGCAGGCTGGGCCGCAGCAAATTAGAATGGGCAGTCAAGAGCCCAGTTAGCTCCCCTCAACAGATCGCTGGAAGGTGCTAGAACTCTCTGAGAGACAGAGTAGGGTGGCGGTGGAGAGGAACTCCCCCTTGGCAGATCTCTAGAAAGCACTAGAACTGTCTGAGAGAGAGAGACGTTCCCTCTTGACAGATCTCTTGACAGGTCCTAGAATTTTCTGAGAGAGCGTTAAATGGAGTAAGAGAGCAAACAGGTCTCCCTCGACAGATCTCTGGAAGGCGCTAGAACTCCCTGGAGAGACAGTCCTGGCTCCTGCCAGCTTCTCAGGGTGGCCTTCAGGTCAAGTCAGGTGAAAACCACATCGGAGCAGAAAGAGCTCTGCAAACAGGAAACTTGAGACAATTCTGGGAAGAAGGGATTTCCACGGGACGGAACACAGAAGCTGTTCTTCCCCTCGCTCACCTCACAGGGTGTGCCTGCTTCCCCACGGAAGCCGTGACCACCAAGGAGGAGTCGCTGAATGGGAAACCCACCCGCTCTGCAGACGATACAAAGTTAAAGAGGAGCACGGCCCCCAGCGGGCGGCGAGGGGCTGCGGACCAGGAGGCTGGAGGGGAGTGTTTAAGGAGTGCGGGACTGACGGAGCGGGCGGGGGAGGGCAGGGCCGACAGAGGAAGAGGCCACACGTACGTGCTGGATGAGAAGTGGGCAGCGCGCGTACAGCACAAATTTGTGGGCGTAGAGCACCTCCCCGCTGTCCACCTGGAACTGGACGTCGCTCAGATGCGGGTTATTGACCATGGCCCTGAGGTCAGCAAGCAGCAGGCCGAGGGAGAGCTGAAATGGGCAGTGGGGAGCTGTCAGAACCAGGCCACGTCTCTCTCTCGTGTACTCCCCGCCCCCCCCCACCCCCCCGCCACATACCCTGGGTAGCCCGGTCCTTACTGAGGTGGCATCATCCCTCTCCAGAAGTTCCTCTTTGGGTGTCAGGACGAACCCTGAGAGCGGGAGGCTGCTGGGCACCAAATCTGTGGCTGAGAGAGGGCCTGAGGGTGAGAAGACTGGCACCCCAGCCCTTTTGGGGAACCCTCTGGCTCGCGCTCCAGGCAGGGGTGCCCCGCCCTTGGTCAAAGCGCAGGGACGTGGTGCCTCCCACCGCCAGCATGCCAATATGTGAGCAAGGAGAAGCCACCACTTGCAAGGACGGAGGAGCAGCCCTGGGGTTCCTGGGGGTGAAGCATTGGACTGCTCACAAAAGGTTGGTGGTTCAAGCCCACCAGCAACCCCTCCTGGGAAAGAGGTGGCTGGCTGTCCCCATGAAGCCTGACTGCCACAGAAGCCCTCCCTGGGGCTGCTCCGGGACACATCAACTGCAGGGCGGGGGTGGGGTGGGGGCGGTGGTGTCATTCTAGTCCCCTGTCTCACCTGCCTCTTCGCCCCAGCCGCCCAGGCCCCGGTTGCTGGGCTGCAGGCCCTCTCGGGCCAGGTCCACAAGGTCCTGCAGGGCCTGGCGCTCCCTCTGGCTGGAGGTGGGTGATGCCTTCCCGGGGCTGGCCTCCACCAAGCGCCCTCCAGGGCTTCGGCCTGACCAGGGACGGCTGTGGAGGCTAGCGGACAGGTGAGCATCCAGCTGTAGCTGGTCAGGCAGTCTCAATGGACTCATCGGCTCCGTCTTGAGTTCCTGGAATGAGTGAGAAAGCCGACCTGGACTCTGTCAGCGTGACCCACCCTGCAGAGCGGACCGGGCAAGCTCGCCTACCGGGCAGCTTCCATCAGGGCCAGGACCCTGCCTGTGGGGCCCATATGGGAAAGGTTTGCCATGGGAGAGTGTGGGAGAGCTAGAGAGCGTCCCTGGGCACCACAGTCCCAACAAGTTACCGACTCCTGGCGACCTGTGTGGGTCACATCTGTTTCAATGTTAGCTTTTGATTGTGGATTAAGGTAGGGGTTTGCCTATGACACCACCGTTTGTTGTCTTGTTTGTTTTACATCCAACAACTTAAACCATGTATCAAACCTCTCGGTGGCTTCATATTCCCCCCTACTCCCCACCCCCGGCTCTTGTGGGGTAACATCCTCTCCTTCCTCTTCCAGACCCCCTTCCCCTCCCACCACCCCTGGTGACCATCTTGATCCCCTGCTCCGCCCTATAACAGTGGTTTCGTGGTTATCTGTCCTTTTGTGATGGACTGACTGCAGTCAGTACCCTGCCCGCCACGTCCTTCCGAGTCCTGCCAGAGCCGCCTCGTTCACTGCACCACCATTCTTTAGCGCGCACAGGATCCCCGAGGGTACGGACACAGTTCAGTATCCATTCTCCCAGCGATGGGCACGGCGTGTTTCCGTCTCCGTGACAGTGACCCTGGGTGTGCGTGCGTCTGTCTGCTTTGTGCCACGCTCCTGACTTCTGCAGGGCAGATGCCCAGGGGCAACGCTGAGGTTTTTGTTCCGTTTTTTCTGAAGTAGATCAACAGGACTTTCTTCTGAGGCATCATCGGGTGGACTTGAACTTCCACCTTCCACTTATCGGCTGAACTCGTGAACTGTCTGAGCCCTGCCCCGGGGGGTCTGGAGGCCCCTCGGGTGGATGGGCACGCAGTCCAGGACTACCTTGTGGGAAGACACTAATCCACTCATACCGGAAGTCCCACCCCTCCTCGCCTTCGACTTTCCCCAGGGCCGGTAGGCAGGTGTGTGCAGAGGGGAGGGCCTCACCTGGGTGGGCTGCCAGGGCACAATGGGTGGGACCAGGCTGGTGGTGTAGAACGCCTCCAAAGCCCAGCTTCCCATCAGGGCGCTGCCCTCCCACAGGAAGTTCTGCCTTCCCACTGGCAGCGACAGGCGCCAACTGGCATGCTCGGCCTCTTTCTCCAAGATCCGGCTGGTGGGGAGTGGTGGTGTGCTGGGCAAGGGCACGTCCTCCTCGGCCAGGAGCGTGGCCACGCGGTCCTCCATCTGCCGCCGTGTGGCCTGGGAGTCCTGGACCAGCAGCGGGGGTGGGAAGATGGGGAGCTTCTTGCGGCCTCGCTTCTCTAGACAGAACCGGGGCAGCATGTGTCAGTGCGGGCTCTGCCACGCCGCCTCACCCCCGGACCCGTTCCAACCCACCTCCCTCCCACCTGCTCCCACCATCTCCCCACACCCCAAAACTTGTTCCCACCACCCTTACCGGCTCCCATTCTTGCCCCCCACACCTGCTCTTTCCAGATGCAGGCTTCCCCCGCCCCCACCTGTTCTCACCCCTGCTACCTGCTCCCAGCTTTATCCACTTAGAAAAGGCATTCCCCAGGCGAAGTGCTGGCACGGGCTGACACTGCTCCAGCTCCGAGCGGGACAGCGCCATGGCCACGAGCAGGTCCTCGGACGGGGCCTCGGGCGGGCTGACCTTCTTCCTTTTCTGGGGCTCCTTCTTGATGGGGGCTCCTTTCCGTTTCAGAGTCTCCCAGTTGGGGCTGCAGCAGAGGCGGCGGCGGAGAAGGGCATTCGTGAGGCCTGTCCATGCTCGAAAGAGAGCGGCCCCGGCTCCTCAGTGAGGGTGACAGCAGTTGAGGGGTGCAGGGGAACACACAGTGTGCTCTAAGCAGTACATTCTGCAGCAGGAATTCCCACTGCCCCAGGGTGAGGCCGGGAAGAGATCCAAACCTGCCAGGCCTGGCCTGTGGGGAGGTTCAAGGCCCCGGAGCGGGTGGCCTGTTGTTGTAGCCTCCTCCTCCAGCACCCCTTCTAGAAGGCCCAGTCTATGGGAGATTTTAAAAACCAAACACGAACCGAGTCGGTCACTCGGATGCGGTCCTGTTGGACCCGCCCTGGCTGGCCGGGGGCTGTGCGTGGTGTGGCCTCGAGTCCTCAAAGGCTTGGCGCTAATACTCCTGGAAGGGGTCCAGGTGGCACAGCGGCTGCCTTCTCACTGGGAAGGTTGTAGTCTGAAGCGGCTTGGGACTCGGGGAGAGAGACTGGCCCTCTGCCCCCATGAGGATCACCAACAAGGGAAGGCTGTCGGGCTGCTCCGCTCTTTCAAGGAGGTCGCTATGAAGCTCTAAACCAGTGCTTCCCAAAGGGGCCGAAAGCACCCCCTGGGGACCCTGGAGCAATCCTGGGGTATGTGTGTGGGGGTAGTAGCCTCAGCTACAATTGGGGAGCATTCAATATAAATAAGGGGGTGGTGGAAGCATAAAGAAAGAAGGGGACAGGAAGTCAAAGAAGTGGGAACTTCTGATCGTAACCCCAAACCAGCACACAAATGAAATGCAGTGCCATCCAGAGCCGCAGTTTGGACTCGTCGCATGCCTGGGGCTTTCTCCGGCTGTTTGTCCTCTTTACCGAGGCAGACTGACCCCTGCGGAGTGGCTGGTGGGGTCAGTTAGCCATTTCCCCTCCGTTTAGCACTGAATGCTTCAACCGCTGTGCCACCAGGCCTCCTTATGGAGCTCTACGCCAAGGAAAGCACCATCAACAAGGCCCCTGCTGGTGGGTCGGTTCAGACTCACAGTGATCCCACACGGCAGAGCAGAACTGTGGGTCAATATTTCAGGATCAGGTAGCCTCCTCTTTCTGGTGGTCCTAGGCCTCTGGCTATACAGTTAGCCACCACGCGTTTCATGGCACTTCCAGGGCTCTGGGAATATCTAAACCCACCTGCTCCCCCAAAAAACCCACAGCCATCTTGTAGATACTGATTCCTGGCAAGCCACTTCGGCAGAGTAGAACTGCTCTCTGGGGTTCCTGATATTTTACATCTTTACAGGAGTCAGCCTCACCTTCCCAAGGAGCAGCTAGTGGCTTTGAACTGCTGACCTTGTGGTTAGCAACCTACTGTCTAGCCCACTCTGCCACCAGGGCTCCTCATGTGGACTTAAGTGACTCTTCGGTCAGTCCACTCGAGAGCTAACCACTGCGCTCAAGTGCTGAAATACAGATGAGCCCGCGGGCTAAGGGACAGGGTGGCTCTCCTCCCACTTTCAGCGCAGGTGCTGGGGCCCTGTGTGCAGGCCAGGAGGGGACACAGGCCCCCAGGGTAGCCTCCCCTGTGCTCTGACAGCTGTGCTTCTCTGCGGGCCTATTGTAACACATGTGCACTTGATTCATGCAAATTGTCTTAAAAATAGAATCCCGTGGTTCTGTCTCACTGACTCTGAAGGTCCCCAAGTAATCTTCACATTGTTTTCCCTGGGTGCCTTTGAGTCAGTCCCGACTCAGGGCTACTTGAATAGGGTCCTCTTGTCAGGGTCAGCTCGCCCAGAGCCACTGCTGGGTTCAAGGGCCAACTTCGCAGTCAGCAACCCAGGGCGTAATGGCTGCGCCTGAAGGGGGTCGGGATCATCCATGAACAACATGGAAACTGGGAGACCCTGGGGTGGGAACCATGCTGCAGGAGATGTGATGCTGGGGGTGGTAGTGGTGAAGGGGTCACCAAATGCTTAGCCTCCCTTGTGGACCCATTCCTGGCCCTTTCATAGACCTGGCTGCCTGACCCCTTCAAAGTCTTCACAGACGCAGACTCCTAGCTCCTCCTGAACTCCTTCAGAATCTAGGCCTTATCATTCCCCCTAAATCAGAGAGGGCTCTTCACCTCTCCAGCATTATGAGAAGTCTTAAAGAATCATAAGATAAAATAATAGAGATTCAAAATCATAATGCAGACCAGACTTACCATTCCTGGCGGAACCCAAGAGACTGAGTGAGGCTCCTTAGACACCCTTCACCCAGGACCTGAAGCCCACCCCACCCATTACCCTACAGCCCAACAACGGGCAGACCTGTGAAGTGAAGGGTGATACCCGCGGGGAATGTGCTCCTCTGCACGATCTACCACACGGGACCAAAAGGGCAGTGCTTGCCCACCCACCCACCACAAGGCTCAGCAGCAGGAGAGGAGGAGGAATGGAAACGGGGGACCCAGGGAGGAAGTTGGGGGAGCACGGTTCCACTGAGGGGATGGCCACTCACGGTCACCAGACAAGACGTGTCACTGGGAACCAAACAAAATGTGTTGAATGGGAAGTAGATCTGTTCTGGAAACTCACTCAAACCACGGGAAGAAAAAGCCCCACAGGGTCTACAGCCTGCTGTTCAGGGGTCTGTGTGATAGTTATATCATCATCTGTCAATTTGAGGATTAAGAATGTAGGGGTGGAGTCTAGCCTGACAATCAGATCATAGCCAGTGAGGCCACTGTGTGGGCATGGCCTTCTCCTGAGAATTCTGGGAAATCTGGTATCTCCTCCTTGGAGGCATGAGAGACTCTCTCTCACTACTTTCACTCCCTGGGAGACACTGCAGAAGACAAGCCACATGGGTGCAACCAGACCTCTGAAGCCAGAGATGCCACAGAGAGACCTCTGCCGGCACTGAGATGCTCACAACGCCACTGGACCCAAAGACTTTCTACCCACTGGCTTGTGGTCGTACTGCATTTGGCTTCATTGCATGCGTTTCGTGAGACTGAAGAGGACTTTATAGACTGGTAACAGACATATGGACTAATATCAGACTTATGGCCTTGGACCGGATTGAGATGTTTTCTTATTGTACAATTGCTCTTATATATAAACTTCTTCCGTAGAAAGGGGGAATCAATTACAAGGATCTACACATAACCTCCTCCCTGGCGGATGGACAACAGTAAAGTGGGTGAAGGGAGATGTCAGACAGTGTATGGCATGACAAAATAATAATTTATACATTCTCAAGGGTTCATGAGGGAGGGGAGAGTGGGGAGGGAGGGGGAAAAATGAGGAGTTGATTCCAAGGGCCCAAGTGGAAAGCAAATGTTTTGAGAATGATAGGGGCAACAAATATACAAATGTGCTTGACACAATGGATGTATATATGGATTGCGATAAGATCTGTACAAGCCCCCAATAAAATGATTTAAATTAAAAAACAAAACAAACTAAAAAGCCCTCTTCCTTATACACATATGTGTGTCCATGGATTTGTTTCTCTAGTCTACCCACACTAACACCGTCTGCGTATCCCCGGGCTCACCTGGGTGTGGTGGCGGGACTGCAGTTCCCCTGGTGCTGGGCCGTCTGCAGCCGCACCGCCTGCAGCAGGAGCTGGGGGCAGACCTCCATCCGGGTGGCACACTGCTTCAGGTGGCTGCTTCTGCTCTGCATGCTGAGGAACAGCTTGCCACAAATGGGGCACCCCGGGATTTGAGGGGCGCAGGGTCTCGATGCCTTCTCTGCCTCATCCAAGCACCTGGAGGGAGATGGCAGAGAAGAGAGCCAGCCTCCTGAGTGGTGCCCACCGTAGCCAGAGTCACCACAGCTCCACATCCCCCTAATCGGTCACCTCCCCCAGGGAGGATGCCTCCTGGCAGGGCCGCTGTGTGTATAAGCCAGTCTCCAGACACTCAGCTGGGGTGTCTGTTAGCAATGGTGGCGACAGAAGGCGCGGAGAGACTTAACCATGAGTTAGAGATGGCCGTGCACATGCACTCGGAGGAACTGACCCCAGAGAAATGAAAGCATGTGTTTACACCGCTCGATTCAAAAGGGCTAAAAAGGGTCAGCCACCCAGGGACACGAATGACATGTGGAATGGGCTGGGGATCCTCGACTCCATGGCTGACAAGGAAGGAAGTAGCACTTGTAGACATGGACTTGGATTGATAGAGCGGTGAGACGTTAAATGTCTGTATTTTTCAGCCAGGACCACAAACTAAAAACCCCACCACTGAGGAGTGGATGAACAAAATGTGGCCTCCTCAAACCATGGGTCGGCACTCGGTCCTGAGGAAGGAGCTCTGACACACTCTGACGTGGACGGGTCTCGAAGAAGCGAGGCTGAGGGAGGGGAAGCAGCCAGATGCAAAAAGTCAACTGCTGGAAGGTTCCGTTTACCCGGAAGGTCTAGAACAGGCCAGTGGACGGCGTCAGAAGGCTGATGAGTGGAAATGGGAGTGATGGCTTAATGCGATTCTCCTGGGGCAGGGGTGGTGGTGGTGGTGGTGGTGGGACGGACAGGTGCTAAAATGGACTGAATAAACTCAACAACCCAGGGTACGGGCGCCTTGGAAGGAACGACCGTCTGCTATGTGAGTCGGGCCTCAAGCGGGCTGTTGGAAGGAAAGAGAAAGCAAGCATGTGCAGGCCGGTGCTGGGAGGGGCGGGCAGCCCAGGCTTCGTCCCTTGGCCGCGCCTCCCGGTGGGCTGGCAGTGGGCAGGCTCTTCCTACCTGTTCACATGCTGCTCCCTCCGAGTCACGGTCATGGCGGACAGGTCCTTCTGGCAGATCTGGCAGAAGAACCACCCCTCTTCCTCCAGGCCCTCTTCACGGGCCGGTGCTCCTTCCTGGCCCAATTCCTGCTGCAGGGCCAGGGCCACCTCGGCATCGCTTTCGGTGGCAAGGGGCCCAGGTCCACAGCCTGGGGAGAAGCAGCGCAGATCCGTGAGGACAAGTTGCCAGGACACAGTTAGCATGTGGAGCCCAGCACCCACCTCTGCCTGCAGGCCTGGGGTACAGCCTCGCCCGGCCCCTGGCACTACCCAGTGAGAGCCAGCATTTGCGAGGGGCTCCCAGCATGGGACTCATGAACCGAAACGAGTGCGGGGCATCTGGGGGAGCCTAGGAAACGCGTTTGGACTCAGCAGGTCCCGTCAGAGCCAGAGTCTACTTTTCTTCCTCCTCTTCTTGTCCTCACTTCTTAGGGAGAGTCAGGTAAAGGTTTATGGGCAGATTGGGTTTCCAGTCAAACATTCACACACTGTCTCACACCATCGATGGCCATCCCCCAAATGCACCTCCCTCATCTGACTGCTTCCTTCCTGTTTCCTGTTTCCACTCCTCTTCTACTCCTCCGCCTTTCCCCTGCTCCAGCCTTCTGAACTGCTGAGCCAACCTTCTCATCTCAAATGGTTGTTCTACCTCACTCAGACTTCCCTGACCCATAGAGACCTGGACCAGACACGTGTCTCCCAGTGGGCTGCAGACTGAGCTCCGGGGCTGAGTTCGGTTCCAGGCCTGAAGGGTGACGAAGGGCCATGCTCTAGGAGGGTTCCACCAGTCTCCGTCTGACTGGGGGCCCCGGTCTTGGTTAAGATGCTTATTGCTAATGAAGCGGTTGGCAGCTGGCACCCCCAGCAGATCCTCAGCAGAAAGACCTGGTGGTCTGCTTCCACACAGAAGACGACACGGAAGTCCTGTACGGCCTTTCCCTCCTGGCACACGGGGTCAACGTGAGTCAGGATCTGCTCAGTGGCACCCAACGACAAGAAGAGGGTCCATCAGTATGGTTTCTGGCTATTTCTTTTCTTCTCAAACACTCTCCTTGGACCTGAGCTCCCATATTGAAGAGAAAGGGGTTAAGGACCTGCTGAAAGGCTGTCTGCACCTCGTGGGTAGGACCAGGAAGTGCCTGGATGATTCAGATCAGGTGGGAGCAAGGCGTGAAGAACCCAGTTGGCAAGGTAAGCATGGGCCTCTTTGTACTTGCCTCTAGCTCTGGTTGGCAGCTCTCTCTCTTCCAACCCTACACCCCCTTCCTACAGAACCAAAGCCTTTTTCCAATTTCCAATCCCTAACAGGGATGGAGTGCCCAGTCAGTAAGGCAAGCACATGTAGACTTGTGCTTACTTAGTAACCCATAGCTAGATGGAAGGGTGTCGATGACAAGTGAGAGGAAACAGTCAAATCCATCCAGGAAGTGGGCAATGGCTAAGAGGACTTCCAAGCCCTCAAAGTCACGAAGAAAAGACAAAGATGGGCAGGGAGAGGGGCCTAGTCTGGGCTCTAGACATTAAGAGACAACTCATCTCTGAGCACATGCAGGGTGTGATGTGGTTCTGATCCTCACTCTGTAAAAGGAAACAGCTCCCGGTGATGTCCTGGGAATAGCCTCGGAAATCTTGGAGCTGGATACCAGCTGACGTGATAGACTGCGGGCAGAGGGCCGTGTGGTTAAGGCACTGGCTGAGGAGGATGCAGTTCCTCGCAGTGGCACGTAGGACAATCGGTGGGGTGGGGGCGTGGGGGTGTGTGTGCCAGACTGCGTCCAAATACACATTTCTAGACAGAAAAAGACACATGTCAAAATGTTAACGATTGTTAAATCTGGGTCCAGTGCACGGAGGGTTCATTATGTGTGTGTGTGTGTGTGTGTGTGTGTGTAGTATTTTTTTTAAACAGGTTTCTCTGTATGTTTGAAGGACTTTATAATGAAATGTCAAGGGGAGCAGGCCAACGGGCACAAGCAGACCTAGCTTTATGGGCTTCACTTAACTACGCCTCACAGATGCAACATTTGCTTACAAGAGAGCCTGCTGTCTTCTCGTCACGCCGTTTTCCAGCTGCCTGTGCTCATCTCGTGTCTCTGTGCCGCGGACGTTTTCGTCACAGTATTAAGCACTGACTAGATGACAGTCTCGTGTAAACCTATCCTTTTGGTGTGCTGGGAAACCACAAACGTCAGGTGACCCACTTGATTGCAGGGTGCTTTCTTAGGCTGATGTGGAACCACACTGTGGTGCTATCCCCAAGGTCTTCCCGGACTTTGTCAGAGAAGCTAAGGAGCAGGAGATTCAGGAGACGCTTCATTCTCTAGACGCAGGGAGCTGACAACGGTACAAGCCACCTGGCAGGGAGCCTTCCTAGAGCAACAATAATGTGGCAGTGCGTCCCTGCCTGGCTCCCTTTTCCTAGCACGGTAACTCACCTCTGTGTGGAAAGTGAAGCGTTCCATTCTCCACCATCCTCTCCTCTTGAGGGTCCTTGGGTGAGGTTTCTGCCGTCGCAGCCTCAAGCAAGCACGCTTCCGAAGCGTGTTTCAGACGGGTGGGGTGTGCTCTCTTGAACTGCTGCATTCGCTGGAGGACCAGCTCTGCTGTCCGTGGCCTGGAGGGGCTGACTGCAGGGGCTGTCGGCAGCCCGGAAGCAGGGGGCTGGGCGTCACCCCTAGGAGCACCTTCTGGAGGAGAAAACACACCATTGTTTCTGTTTCCCTGGGACAGTCAGACCCAGGCTTCAAAGACGTACTTCACTAACTAATGTAGGTACGATTGTCAAGTAGGAATAGGACTGGTTATTGGCAAACCTCATTGCCAAGCTGCTAAAAAAGTCTTCCCAAAGTTTATGGCAAAATTCCATTAGCTTTCAAATCTACTTTTCCATGAACTTCTGGAAGCCCCCTTGTGGAGACCAGGGTTTCTGAACCAGTTCAGTCATGGCTGATGCAACGGCATCGGAAGATAAATATAATCAGAAACGTAAGCGGTGGGTGTACGGGAGCAGTAACTGGAACGAGGAATATTATGGGTCAAAGACCTGGCATGGGAGCCTGATGGAGGAGACTGGATTATTGCCAGGACCATGGAGAGCAACGCACATTCACAGTGGTGTGGTGGCCACCCTCTCTGAGTGGGGCACCACTGTTTCGGACTCTGCTGTTCAAGAGATTTGGTTGCTTTGCAACACCTATGTTAAGAGGGAGACTTCGAGTTTCTAGCAGGGCAAAGACCCGCAATTCTGTCCTGTTCCAGTGGCTGTTCTGGTTCACGCACGTTTTACAAATTCATATGGCCCAGTGTCGCTCCCTCAGCCATGACTGAATCAGGAAGAAGTGACAGAATGACGCATATGACGAAGGGGAGGCTAGGGAGTACCTGCTCATGGATATGGGCTTACTTTTGGGGGTGAGGGAAAGATTCTACAATTAGACAGGTGCTAGTTGTACAACCATATGAATTTTCTAAAAGCCACTAAATCAGAGTATAAAGTGGTGAATTATGGAATGTGGGCTATAACTCAAGCTATTATTAAAGAAATATTAACAACAAACACTTTTCTCGTCCTAGATCAGTAGCGCAACTTTAACTTGGGGTCTGCAGATAGCCTTCAGAGCCTTATGGCCTCTCACGGAGCCAGTGGAGGGTCCATTTTCAGCAGAGTTCTTGTGGGTGCAGTTTTCTGGACCACTGTGCATACAGCTTTCCATGCGGTCTCCCAACATGAGGGACGGAAGGACTCCTGTGTCAGCATAGGGAAGCCTTACAGCTGTCCCTGTGCACCACCATCTTGATCCAGTCCCCTGGGAGGAACTGCTGACCACACCAGAAGTAATAAAACGTTAAGATCTGGGGGTGAAGGGAAGAAAAATGTAGAACATTGGGTTCCTGTGGGAAACTGAGGAACAGGAAGAGAGGGTAGGCAGACAAGTGCTTTATTCTCATAGTGAAGCAGTCTGGGAGGCCAGGGTTCTGGGTGGAAGGAGGCCCTCACACTTGTGAGTTAGAGATGAGTCCCAATCACATTCTCATAATCAAGATTAATCCCCACTATAACCTCCCATCATAGTGCTGCCTTAAAGTCACCGCTTACAAGCACATGACTGATTGTCTGCCTCTTAATTTCTTCCCTTCAGTTACCCAACTGTCCCTTAGGACCCATCCGGATGTGAGCTGGATCCCACAGATTCCTCCAGATCCTATAAATGCTGGGTTGGTTTCAGTTCAGTGTGGAGAAGGAATCTGGCTTATAGCATACTAAAGGCCACAGTGGGGCACAGCTGCTTAAAACACACGCGTGCGCGCACACACACGTTCGAAGACAGAATAAAGAGTGTGGGGAGAAAGGAAAGACCTAAAGACCCTCCTGAGGCATAAACCAACATGTCACGCTCCTAAGAGGGGGCACCAAAACTTTCACAGAAAAATGAAATCAAACGATAATGGAGTTTTTCCAAGAACTTTTGGAAGCCCCTCCCTTCTATTTCCTTTGCAATAGCTGAACCCCAAACTAGCTAGCTCTTTCAACAGACCCACTTTGGAATTAAGACAAGAAAAAAGAAGCGGTGTATTATTTCCATGCTCTTGTAACTCCTGTCAACGGCATATCAGAAACATTACAAAAGCATTCTGAAAAAGCAGAGGATCCTAAACATAATCACATGAAAACAGCACACAAGACGGTTAGATGAATATTATTTATGACTCTTGTTCAAGACTCTCCAAAGGATGGCCCTCAGGTTGATTTTTTTTTAATTTTAATCACAGCCACATTCATTGGTCCCTATTGTCTATGGCTGCAGACAGCATGATCCCCAAAGCCAAAAATATTTACTATCTGGCTATTTTCAGAAAGCGTTCTGACCATGGTGTAAGATCATACAAATCAGCCCTTGTTTCCTGTCTAAACGCCCTGGCAGTGGTTTATGCCTGTTACCTGTTTGGGCATTCTGTACACCATCCTCAAGCACAGGCTCGTCTGCAGCAGGGGGAGGTGCAGGCGCAGGCGCGGGCACAGGTGCGGCCGTAGGATCAAGTGCACAGCTCTCTCCGTTCTCAGTGGGTGCAGGGCCTGGTTCTAGCAACTTGGCTATGCCTTGATTTTTAGCCTGAAAGGCCTGACTCCTGGGTTGCTGTTTCTTCCCCTTTGGACCTCGAAGAGTCTTGCTGTTGGCAGCGGTCTGTCTGGGCCGTTTCTGTTTGCTTCTTATCTGAATGCTGGAGGCCTTTGGCTTCTTCTTTTCTCCTGACAATTCCTTGGGTGCATTCTTCTTCACCCTCTGGAAAAAACTGGCGCAGAGTTCCTTAAAATCGTCGTCTGATTCCTCCATCATCCGGCCAGAGTTCAGGTTGAATTTCAGAGGCGAGAGGGCTGACCTGGATGCTGCTGCACAGACGGGGAAGGAAACTAAGGGCCAGCTGGTCCCTCAGATGTCCTGCTTCAGGGAGCCTCCTCTCTCCCTTTAACTGAGATGCCTGAAGGGTTTGGACAACTGAGCCACAAGTGTCTCCTGCTACCCTGTAAGGATTTAAAACATCTTTCTTCAAATCGGGTGTAGGGTCAAGCAGTATGTTTGAAACGTCCCTCTGTGAAGGTCCCCTTTCGAGAGAATGTGTTCTTGTCCAATAGATGCCTCGGAGGTACTACACACAGGGACATGCTGCTCAGCTCACCACGGTGGTTCAGAATGGCTGGTCTGTTTCATTTCACATCTGCAGGAAAGCAAAAGCATCAGTGAAATGAACAGACATTATCATTTTAAGCTGTGCATTTCAGGAAAGTCCAAGAACACTTGGGATGTGGGGGAAGTAGATACTCAGTGCAGCCTGGTGAACACAGACTGTCTATTCCATGGAAACTTGTCTAAGCATACCCTTCCAGGGGCAGAAGAATGTACAGCTTCTAGAAGCGCATGGTTTTTATGGGGGCCTTGGTGGTGTACTGGGTTATAAGTCAGGTTGCTAACCACAAGGTTAGCAGTTCAAATCCATCATTTGCTCCCCCTGGGAAAGAGGTATATCCTCTGAAACCCTAGGGAACAGTTCTCCTCTCCTAGGACTTGAAATCCACTTGATGGCAGTGGGTTATTGTTTTGACTGAAATTTGGTAAATAAACTCCATGAAAGAGAAGCATCCCATGAAGGTTATGTCTAGATCTGAAACTAGCTCCTACACACACTTAAGGAGTCCTGGTCACCCACGAGTTTAAAGGCGGCAGCTTGAACCCACCCACCACTCCCGTCAAGGCAGTCTGGGAAACTTGACGGGACAGGAAGGCCTACTGTCACATGGAGTCACTCTGGGTTGGAATCAACTGGTTGGCACCAACAACAATCTGGTCCAAGGCAGGGCTTTGAATTGGTTCATTCCAGTTCCCTGCCCTGCTAAGAACTTGCCCATGCAGGTATACTGGTTTCAGATAGGCTGAATCCAAGTCTATGGTTTCACAGGACCCCCAAGTGATTCCTTTAGGTACATAACAATCTTCTGGGGCTCTAGAAGAAACTTTTCCAGGTCCTTTATGGAAATGGATTCTGCCCACCATGGTATTCATCACGGGATTCATCAGGCCTCCCTCCCAATTGCTTCACACTTCTTTAACTCATTTAGGCTTTACAACAAGGGTCCCCGGTGTCACAACATTTAAGCACAGTTGACAGCTTGAATCGACCCAGAGGTTCCACAGGAGAAAAGATCAGTCCATCTGCTCACTTGGATTTCAGCCTAAAAACTCTACAAAGCAATTCTACTGTCATATGAGGTGGCTCTGTGTTGAAATCAATTCAATGGCACCTAACAACTATCAGGTGAGAGACAGATGAGGCTTCTACTCCTGTAGAGATTTACCGTTTTGGAAACCCACAGTGGCAGTTCTACCTGTCCTACCCCTAAGTGGGAATCAACCCAATGACAATGAGTGAGTATAAGGTGGAATCAGCCCTCATGCCTCCAGAGCAAGGAAACAGCACAAGCAGAGTGAGAAACTGGCTGAAGTTCATGCTGCTTTTGAAGTTGCAAGACCCATCTGGGTCCAGACGGCCAGCTCTGACATTTTTATTCATTTAGTTATAAAGTGAAGATAGACTTCATGTATAAGTACGAGTGAGGTATAAGTACATCACTTATAAGTATAAGCACAAGGGCACAGGCATAGCCTGTTTTATTTTGTCTGCGGCTAGTGGGGCCTGATTGCTAACAGGTAATGAACAGTGGCAATTTGTTGTATCCATTAACTGCAGAGTTTGGTATAAATGGGGAGAAGCAAAAGGGGTAGGAACAGTAGGGATCAGTTCAGAGGCCTGAAACGTAGTGCTAAGCAAACTGGATTTTCATCCTGTTGGATGTGGGGAGTGAATGGAGCCAATTCCACCTTTTCCACAACTGCATTGAGTGGGCCACATCTCTGTTGATGCTACTCAAAAAATAGTCCATCTGCCGCTGTTGTCAGCATTCTCAAACCGGACTCAGGGTAACCCAGTGCTACAGAGTGGAGCTGCTTTATGGGGCTATCTTGTTTGTCATCTTTACGGAGGAGTCCCTGGGTTGCACACACCATTAAGTGCTTCATCTACTGGACCCGGGGTTGGTAGTTTGGGAGGTGGGGGAGACCTTGCAAGACAGGCCTGGCGACCTGCTTCTGAAAGTTCATAGCTTGGACACTGTACATTTGGGGGTCTCCATGAGTCGTAATCGACTTGATGACCACGATAACAATCATTCCAGGAGAAGGCAGACTCGCCAGGTCTTTCTGCCGTGAAGCAGCCGGCTGCATGGAGCCTCTATCCTTTAACTGAGCAGCCCCACAGCACATAACTTGGCCCCTGGGCTCCTGTCCGACTCCTGAATGCGCTCAATCCTTGTCGCTCAATGAAATGAGGGATCCTCCCCAGCTGCACGTTCCCACCTGGCTTCTTACCACGACCACACGCGACCCACAGAGGTGCGGAATGAATGGGTGGGTGGGTGCGGAATGAATGGGACAGGTCGAGATGAAACAGGCCCTCCCTCCTTCCCGCGACCCAGTGTCCCACGAGGGGGATGGGGACCCGCCTGGGGAGGAGCAGTCAAGGGCTCTGGCGGCTGGAAGCATTTCGATCGCGGTGAAAACTCCAGGCGCCAACGGACTCTCGGGCCGTGACCACCATCGAATCCAGCTCCACCCCCTGCCCCCTCGGCGGGCCCTCTTCACCCACCACGTCTGCCGAGACAGGGGGCCGGCGAGGGCGATGGACGAGTACGGTCCGACTGACAGCACCTCCTCCTCCGGGCTGTAGCTCCCGGCCCTAGAGCGCGGCTCCTCCTACCTCCGGCGCCACCGCGGCGCCTTCTCGACGGAGACCGACGCGCGTGCGCATGCGCCGTGCGACGCGCGCCCCCCCCCACCCCGCGGAGAGCTGAGCGTGCGCCAGCGCGGGAGGCCGCGCAGGTCCGCTTTCCCAGGGTCCTCTGCGGCCCCAGTTCTCGGCGGAGAGCGCGTCCGGTCTGCCGGAGGCGGGGCGGAAGTACAGTTCCTGTCAGTCTACCGGACGGAGCGTCGTGCTGAGGCAGCGGCCGGAAGTTAGTTAAGGAGTCAGAGGGCGACGCGGTGAGTTGGGGGCCGCTGTCTCAGACTTAAAATAAGGTTTGGTCGCACAGTAGCTCGCGCAGGAAATGTGTGGGCATCCAGTGATCCAGTGGCGGCCCCTCGGCGCACACCTTCCCCGTGGGGCTGCTTGGGGGCGGTCGAGTGGTCCTGGCCCCTATGGATCCCATGTGGGACGGAAGAAAACCCTGCTCTGTTCCACCGCTGCCGGGTTTGAGCCCATTGTTGCAGCCACGGTGTGAATCCATCTCGTGGAGGGTCTTCCATCTTTTCTCTTGACCTCTCCCAAGCATGCTGTTTATTCTCCTGGCCCCTCCTGAGAACATGTCCATATTTCAGGTCTCACCATCCTCATTTCTAGGGAGCATTCTGGCCGCACTTCGAGACACTAGTTTATTCTGGTAGTCCAGAGCCTTCGCCAACGCCATCATTCAGACTTCCATTTTTCTCTGGTCATTACTCACTGCCCAACTTTGACGTGCACAGGAGGCGATTGACACTACCATGGCTTATCTTTAAATAATGTTTTAAAAAAGAAAAATACCATGGCTTTGGTCAGGCTCACCTAAGCCCTCAAAGTGACATCGTGTAGGAGCTGTCACCGAAAGGGTGGATAAGGAGGAGGCATGTACGGGCTGCGGTACACTGGCCAAACCTAACGTCCTTTACAGGTTTGCTTATGCTGATACTTCACTAGGCTCTTAGAACAAGGGGTGATCTGTGTTAAATTTGAGTAGAAGCCAAAAAGCATGATTTTTGCCTTCACCCCTTGAGGAATGGCGGCTCAAACCCTAGAAACATTGGACCCAAAGCGGATGTGCACCTGAAGCAAACCTGAATGGCTAGTCCCTAAGTAGTCTTCCTCTGAGAACACTTAATCCTACAGAAAGATTGTTAATGGCCGTTATGGAGTAATAAAATAATTGGGAAGGGAATAAGTATGAAAGGGCCAGTGGTTAGGGGGTGGCCTGCAGTTCAGTAAATTACATCCTGTGGCTCTTCCAGCCGTGGTCTTTGTAATGCCCACCAAATGGCAGGGTGGCCTCAAGCAAATGAGGTGCTTCTGGTCCAGGAGGGGGACTGAATAGCTAGCTTGCCAAAGGGGGAACAGGTTTTGTGAGACTAAACACGGTCATTCTGTGCTTCCCCCTAGTTTACTTCCATTTGCTAAATCAATCTTCGGTAACTTGATGGAGGGCTCAGCAGAGCACATGAATGGTCTGCACTGCCCCCGAAACACCTAGTCATTACCACCCAAACCCACAGGCAAACCTGTTGCTGTTCATACAATTCTGATTTGTAAATATTGTTGTGAGGAGCTGTTGACTCTTTCTAATTATCAGAGTATAACTGCCCCTGTGGGTTTCCAAGACTGTAATTCTTTATGGAAGTAGAAAGCCTAGTTGTTCTTTTAAAGGTGAAACTGAGGTACAGGGAGAAGGACAGACATAACTGACAGGACAAGGTAGAGCAGAAACAGAAATAGCTTTATTAGGGGAAGCTCCCAGACGAGGTTCCATGACCTAGGCCAACAGGTCAGGGAAATCGTGTTCAGCAGCTGGGGGCATTGGTTTTCAAAGGGGTGGGGAGGAATGTATGGCAATTTGCATATGGGGTCTGGAAACTCCCGTGAATTGCTTGAACCCAGAACATCTGGTTTCACTGGTTATCTTACCTGGCACCGTCTGCTGCTGACCTTTAGGAAGTGCAGGGAAGCACGTGCAGGGCCCTGACCTGCTTCAGCTTAGTCCAAACAGGGCTGCCTAGTTTGGACCCGGCCCAAACAGTTCTACTGCAGACCTTGTGGGTAGCAGCCCAAGTCACTGCTATATACCAGGACTCCTTTGACCTACTTCAGTTCTCATTCACCCCACCCTCCCCTCTCCGGATTCCACCAAATTCCCAACTCACCCTACTGCCATTAAGTTGATTTCCACTCATAGGAACCCTGTAGGGTTCCTGGAGTAGTGTGGGATGTGGAAGGGTTTCCCCCCAGGTTGTCTCCAAAATATATGCCAAACCTAAGACGCTATGTGCAACACATGCCAAATTATACTTGGAGGTCAATGTCAGCTGCTTCAAGGTTATCAGCCGTCTAGAGCAATCAGACCCTATAGTTTGCCCCACCCTAAGATGGGACACCCTTCTGACAAGGATAGTGGATTGTTTCCCTGAAGGAGAACCTAGAGACAAGGTCAAGCCAACTCTAGGACCAAGGTTAGGCTGCCATCTTGAATCTAGCGTCCACCCATCTTGTCACACATGCATACCCTTAAGTGCTGCCCCTTCCAATTGCGTGTATACCCCTAGTTTGTCCCCCTCCGATTGATGTATGCCAATTATACAACCCCTACCTCTTATGATGTAATCAGGATGCCTTGCACGTCCCTGAAAATGTATATATGCCATGATAGTCTCGCCTCCTCCCTCTCTCTGCGCGGACCTTGCTGTTGAGATCATGGCCATCCCAGAGGTGAGCGCTTGCATGCTTTAACTTGTCTGATGTCTCTTTAATTTAACCCCTCATTTACACAACTGCCCTTTGGACCCATTTGATTGTGGTACCCCACAGAGTAGGACCCTAGAATTATTGAAGCTGTAAATCTTTACGGGAGCAGCCTGCCACATCTTCCTGTGGAGTGGCATTTCTCTCAGTCTCTGTGCTTAGAGCCAACCTGAGCTGTCAGATCTGCTCCAGAGTCCTGAGGGTCTGCTCTGACATATGGAGGGTCAGAGAGGTCCCCAAGCCTAAAGAGTTGAAATGTACTTCTATGCAGCCTGCAGTGCTGTTGGGGCGGTTGCAAGCTGAAAAGTCAACAGTTCAAATCCACCAGTCTTGAACCAGCTCCTCTGCTTCTGTAAAGATTCACAGCCATGGAAACCCTCTGGGGCTGTTCTACTCTGTCCTGCAGGGCGCTAAGGGTCTGAATCCACTTGGCTGAAGTGAGTGGGCAACCGAAGGGCTTCACCACAGGGGCACTGTCACATGGCTCTGTGTAGGGTGAAGACAGCTAGACTAAAAGAGGTGACTGCCCAGCATGGTGCTTTGCATTTCAGTTCATTCAAATAAAATAGAATACAGTTCCTCTGTCTTACTGCCACACTTCAAGGACTCATTAACCACATGTGACCTCCACATGTGGCTTTTTTCTTTAATTGTATTGCAGTCAAATATATATAAAAAGTTTGCCATGTTAACCATTTTAAGCAATTCAGTGACATGAATTACATTCTCTTGCTTTCACATTCCAATCACCAATAATTATCAATGCCTCTTTTT